AGCCTGTCATACAGGGCTGGTCAGTCAGTGGAGGACTGAATAGCACAGTCACCCGTTTTCCCAGGTTGGGGGTTTGAACAACTTCGAAAACTTTATCCTGAAAAATTTAGGCCACTCTGACAGTCTTTAGCTAACCACCAATGCAGTGTGGTTAGGCTTTTGAGCCGAAGGCTTTGGCTGAGCGCCCCCAGCATTCTCCTGGGAATATCTCAAGTCACGTACAGTCAACATACAAGTAACAATACTCTTACGCCACATCGACTGTCACGGGTTGCCATCAGACGGGTAGCCTTGTATGCTGCATACAGCAGAGAGGCTAAACGAAGACTACTGCTGGTGCTTCCCTTTCTCTCTCACACATACTTGATCTTCTCCCATTTTTGCTCCAATTGAAGCGATATTTTTAAAGATCAAAAGATCCATTTTCTGCCCGGTGCCACTTGGTACAAATTTTCCAATTGAATCGGCTGCCACAGCCACAAACACTTCGAAATAACTCGCCGTTCAGTTCACCTCGAAATATAATTTTGCTCTCTGAAACGGGATAGACAACGGACTTCCCTTTCGTGCACAGTGGCCTTACTTTCTAAATATGTGTGTTGTTCGTCCGAAATGAGGATTCAAGACCCAATTAGAAATGTGGAAGTGACATCCCTATGTGTTCACTTCTGGTTGCGCACGTGTGATGATCCGGAAGCCCCCTGTGCTGGTTCAAGTGAGACTGGTATTGTTCTGAATCGCTGGTTGAATGGCTGCCCTTTGGTATCACCTCTGTACGGCTTGTCTGTGACAGTCCCTCAGAAACGAGCCGGGAATGACTGTCTGTCCGTTGTATCCGCAAACGCCCTGATAAACTTTAGATAAATACTTTTACAACATTTAGCGCCCTGTAGAGGCAGCCAACAGCTCTGGAAATCTTATTGTTGCCGAAAATACCAATGCCCAACCAGGTAGACTTAGTCTAATAGGGTAGTCGTCCAGGTCTAAATTTCAGATGCTCGGGTAACTGCGAGCACCCGTTGCAGATCTGCTGACCGCAGATCATTCCGAAAAAATCGGAAGCCACTTGGCCACATGGTGCCAATCCAATGTTAGTCAACCTACAGGTAGACCACATCGCCATTAGCTTTGGTGGCTTGTGTCAATTAGTGAGTGCCGCTCGTTCTGAAACACCTCTGTGCTATTAAATCATGGAATTGTTGCTGCTACTTGTTGCGATTTTTAGGAGCACGCAAGATGCACACGCCTGTCTCAGCCACTGAAAAGCTCTCGGACCATGTTGTGAAACAAACCTGCCAAAACTATCTAATGAAGTCCCCTTCAGATAACGCGTCTTCTGATGTTCACCATTACTAGAAGTCAAAGTTCGTAAACCTGCAAAATGCTGAGCACTCTGCTTGTGGAACAGCGCAACCAACTGTATCGCGAGCAACAATCCAAAACTGCCCAAAGCTCGGGCAAGTTTTCCTGTTGATTGATGGTGCGGATCAGCTTGACGAGCTGTCAGATTTCAGATGAAATGGGCAACTTCGAGGATCAACAAGCTTCGTATATCCGGAAAGCTGAGGAGGTGGAAAAGGTATTAGACTCTGGTAAATTACGCAAACTATTCCAGCTGATACATGCAGCGAGCCCATAGGAGTCTCCAGTTAACACAACAGTTACCGGTTGTTGATCATGTGGCTGTTGATCTGTTTGCCGAATTTCGTAAGTGGCTTGTAAACGTTTCGTCACCATAGGAGGAGACATCAGTGCGCAGTGGTGATGCTGTGTGGACCAAATCTTTACGCTGTGCTAAGCGTTAGGTCGGCGACATGCCTATAGGTACCCTAAAATCCTAATGCCCCTAGACTTCAAGATTCTATTCGGTTCTGTCGACTGGTTGGTTCTTTTCAACAAGCTTGTGCAATGGAGCATGTCTTAGAGGTTCTTGAATATCGTGCGCTGTTTGTATTTACACGCTTGTGGGCATGTGAGAGAGTATGAGGAGCTCTTCAAAAGCTTTGCTACAAGCAGTGGTGTCCGACAAGCATGTCTTCTTACTCAATTTTCTTTTAATTTCTTTATTGACTGGACAATAAAACAAACACTAAAAGGTCTCCAAAACCTCGGTGGGCGAACCTGGTGAGCCTGGAGTATTCAGACAATTTCTTTTCACTTTTGGAAAGGAATAGGAAGCACAAGCACCTTCAGCATCGCTTTCACGCAAAAAGTTTGAAGTCTTTCTGAAGGACTGTAATCTTTGAATACGCCTCTAAGAATTTATGGACTCACACTGCTCTACATGCTTAATTCAATACGGGGGAATCCTAGAGGTTGATGTTGAATGACACATTTTACGGATGGTTTTGGTGCTGCTGGTGCTGTCCGCCTCCTAGGATGGGGTCCTTCATGTGGATGGCTGGAAATACTGAGCGATATGACGACTGACTGGTGTCAGTTGCATTGATGCTGTCAGTTTCTATCCAAACTGTTTGAACTAGTATGGGAAGTGTAGCCACCTCGAATGTTTGTAATAGGCTGGCTCCAGGTTCCTCCTTCTTTTCTATCTTTTCCGCCTTTCGATTATCATCCTTCATTGAAATCACCTAACAGGGTTTTAAATCCGTGAAGCACCAGTGACTCATCTGGTTTTACCTTCGAGAATCATGATGACTTACCCAATGAACTTATTGTGTTTGTGGCCATCACAACGGCTTTTAAATGGCTCTCGTGGTCCACAAATGTCATGGATTTGAGTAGGAAATGTCACGGGAACGAGAACACATTCCAATGAGGTTGCGAAGTCACATTCTCTCAAGAAACATTCCCATTTGAAGGCAATCCGTTTCTCGGGAGGCAAAAAAATTTCCTGGGTGAACAATTTTTCGGAGAAGCTCTTCCAAGCGCAGCAGTGTTCACTCATAAGAATTTTCCAATTACACGAGCGGAGAGGGATGTTTCAAAAGAAATACAAAAAAGATTAGTTAGATGAGGTACACAAGTAAACACCAAGTTTGTGTGGTTGGATTTAACCGACGCAAAAACTGAGAGATTGTCGAGAAAATGTCAATTTTATGTTTCAAAAGCGAACTTGTTCTCACTAGTTAACTTTGTCTTCTGTACCTAGACCAAACGAAAGCTTTCTGGCAAGTAAACAACCTATCTTAATTTTCGAAGATCTTAGATCTCTGGCTTACCATTGGTTAGTGGAACAGCTAACACCTGTTTCTCCCCCTCGGGTTCACTCATCCTACTTGTGAGCTATCTGTCGTTTTTCGTTCCAGATGTTTTGGTCATTATGGCGCTCCCGATTCTCTAGTAACAGAATATAGGCTTGAAACTTATAGACGAATCAGTTTCTTCTGAAGGATCACTGTTGAAGACTGAACTTACAAGGAGTCTTCAAGTTAACCTACCTTATTATCAGGGGCGAAGGCACCGCAGGAGACTTCGGTACATCAAGATGCTGTTCGCCGACTTAATTCGGCAAAATCCTCCACGGTTCTATCCGTACAGTCCGAAATATGTGTATTTATTCATCGGCAAAAGGTGGATATTGACATGACAGTGGAATTTGAATGGGAATATTCCTTCTTCAACTCTAGAGGCTGTTTTGTATTAGATGGGTGGTCCGTAATACGTAGAGATCTTCACCTTAGTGTCCATCTAATTTTGCCCCTATGTTGTGATACTTCCTTGATCATTACATTCTGAGACCACGCTTCACAAAAATCAAACTTTCAAAGATTCCCACTATCCCTGCAGATGTTTCCTTGTTTATATAGTTTCACTTCTGTTCTAAAGCGACAGCTCTCTACATTCTTCCACGATGATGCAAGCTTTCTAACCCTGCTGAAAAAGTTTCTCCACACTACGTAAACTAACTTATTTGGAACAACACTCCCATGCCACACGGCTTTTATTCAGTAGCATAACAGTATTCAGTAGCATACCAGATTTCAGTCATTTTTCACGTGGACTTGTAGCATTTGACCGTAAGAACATAAAAATTCATCAGCGTATTATGCACTTCCACGCAGGCCCGTTCAACCGGGCCACAGCTCATCCGACGGGCAGTCAGTGCTACTTCCGAATTCCCCAAAAGGTGGAGGAAGGGTGTGAGTCAGCACCTCCCTCGTCTTTTCACGATTAGGCCAACTAGTAACTAGCTTTGTTCTTGTTACTGGTTATCCGTAGTTTTTATGCTCATCTTCAGTGAGCATTGGTTATCTGTTGTGGGATTCTGTCAACGCTTCTTTGCAGGTAGACCTACCAGGTTGGCCTTAATTCATGATTGTACATTTTTAGAAGTTCAGCTGAATGCTCAGGTGGCAAATAATGCGCTTGAAACCTAATAAATATGACATTTGATAACTGTTGAATGACTACTAGTTTTTTTTAATGGTCTGCTTCTTCATATTGTTTGCTTTTGATTCTCCTCTAGAGCAAGCTTGTTTGTGCCGGCTTGCTGATACAAAGAGGAGGCACTGAAGTCGGATTTCCTCCTTGTCATAAAATCCCAGTTTTGGTGCGGCTTGAAACCCAGGTCCCCTGGGCTGCAGTCGTATGTAATGCGTACCCCTTAGTCTGACCAAAAAATTTTGGTTGGCGTCCCCAAGCATACACACATGCTCAACGGGGATGACACTTAAGAGATGGTTGGTTGAGAATTTCCGAAGAATTACTTCGGGAACACTAGCCACCTAATAAGGAAGAACCTGTGCACATTCATTTAGATAAAACAATGCCACTTACGAAAAGCAGCAAACGGTAAAGCTAATATGCTACTGCAGAATATCAGCTGCCTTACACTGAAAAGCCTTGTTCTCTGCTAGGAACAGTTCAATACATCAGTTGCGCTTGGCATGATACTAATCACTCAAGTGACTATTTCCATTGAATTTCAGAATACGCATGCTAGATTTGCTTTTCGGTTTCATGTTTGCTGATAAATTTTATTACCTTAAAAGATACTAATGAATAATTACCTTTCTCTTTCTGCCTTTCAAAACATTCAGGTTTTTAATACTTGTGAATGCGCTTCAGCCGATCGGATCCTCCCACATGGACTCTGAGAATCGAGTGATACTCAACGTGGGTGGAATCAGACATGAAACATACAAGGCCACACTCAAGAAGATCCCAGCTACCAGACTTTCAAAACTGACGGAAGCAGTGGCGAACTATGATCCGATATTGAACGAGTATTTTTTTGACCGCCATCCTGGAGTTTTTGGACAGATACTGAACTACTACCGAACGGGGAAATTGCACTACCCAACGGACGTATGTGGACCACTATTTGAGGAAGAACTTGAGTTTTGGGGGCTGGATGCCAATCAAGTGAGTATGTGTTACTCTGAATGCCAGATATACTGCTTTTTAAGTTTGTTGCATGACAACATTCAAAGGAAACGCTAAGTTCTGGATGACAACTAGCCACATTTGAAAACTGTTGCTGTTATCGGTTTCATTTTGAAGTTACAGATTCTCGAACAGTATATCGAGCTGTGTGGAGATGAACCCCTGATGCCTAGATTCCGATTAAAAACATTACTTTAATTTCTACCTCAAAATTTTTAGCTGCAGAAAACTGGTAATTGACCGAGAAAGATCAAATGTTCAAAAGGTACCACATGTCTGTGTCAGGCTTGAAAACGTTGCATGAATTGGACCAAAAAGAGAAGGAATTTTTACCTGATTCCTAACGCCAGATCAAATGTTTAAAGGTACACCTTAAGCTCACTGATGATTGTCAATTTTCAGGCGTTTGAAATTACAGTTCAGTACTGGTTTAGAGGCTGTCAAGCTTGTGGAACACAAAGACACATGCCCGGCTATGGCCTTGGAGACATTCTGGAGCTCATGAAAAAAACTGACAATACAGCTGTGAAATTTTGTCGATAAGCGTCGTATAGGGAGATTTTTCTCGATAGCACATTAGGTATAATACTTATCGATTATCAGAAGGCCGGCAACTCCGGCTTTGACACCAGGGCGTGCCTCCATGCCTATAACACGTGAGTTAGAATGTTTTATTTGAACATCTTTGAAATAAATGGGACCATTTACTTACGACAAGTTTACAGAGATCAAATGAATACTGACGCAAAACTATTAGTATCAGATTATGTTATATGCATCCATAGAAACCGTCTGCCCTTAAGTGGGTAACCAAGTCGTTCTCCAGAAATATATCCCCTGGTTAGTTGTCTACGACATGCAGTAATGTTCCCAATGTTTACTCACTTGTAATGGTATGTCGACATGCGTCTCACTGCAAACTATTAGGAGATTAGACATCGATTATTTTTTTATCTTAAGGCGATCAGTTAGCTCAACATAATGAACGAAATAATGGGACATACTCTGTGACACAATGAGCCATTAATTTCTATTTTCACCGAACGCATAAGCGTTAAAGTTTAATCACGACAAACTTCTGCTCCCAGTTCGGCTTTGTAAACGAGTGTGTGCGATTCGAATCTGCACTGCAGTCAATTTTATTCAAGGTCACCCACTTTGGTGACACGAATGGATGTCAGGGAGAGGTGCCTATTACTTATTTCAATGCACCTTTGAGCAGACCATTCTAGGGTACTCCCCCCGAATTAGCTCTCTGTTTGACTTAACTCGAGCACGAGTTTTACGTGTGGGGATTACATCAGGTCGGCAACCATCCATCGTCATCTTCATTATCAACTTCATCATCATTGTCATCGTTACCAGCATCATGATCCGCGTCATCGATATAATTGTCAGAAGGCTACTGCTTAAATTTCTCGAAACCGTATTAGTCCATTTGGGGTAATCTTAACAACGAAGAGAACTGTGGGTGGAGGTGAAAGCGCCATGGTGATAAACCGAATTGCTCAAAATACCCAACAGCATGACCAAATGCTTGACCTTGTTTAAAAATCTGGGTGAATTACAGAAGGCCAAATCTGTTTCCGCGAGACAAACTTTTTCTGATTCATTGGTTTTTTAAGAAATGGTTCCATCAGTGACTAATTTCAGGATCAAATGGCATCCGGCACACTGTTCTGGCGATAAGCTAGTATGTAACCAAACGTTTCGACAATATACTCACCATAGCTCGGCTGATCAGTACGAAAGTACCTATGAGGGCTTGATCATGGCAAATCGAGTAGTCGTACAGTGTAGTGTCGCGGTGGCCTTAATTGAGGAGGCAGAAAATGTGATACATAACAACGGACAAGGTTTGCGCTATGCAAAGTCGACAACCTGATGAGAATGTCAAAAACAAGAAGATGGTAGGCTATCGATTTGGTTTCGATATAGTGTACAGAGTGATCGTGCCGTCAGTTCGTCATCATTCTAACCAGCAGTTCAGATACTCTGAACTTTTCTGAAAATTTGCGACTTGTAGAAATTACACTAGATTGATCTGTTTCTCAGCGCCCCTAGTGTACTCATGACCTTGGCTTCCAATGCAAGTGAACTGAAAGATACATTTGTCTCGAGTACTGTTTTGGTCTTCTTTAGCCCTGCGTGAAAATATAAGTTTCACGAAACGAGCAACCAATAAAACAGAAATCTGAAACCCGGTATGTAAATACTCAAGTTTCCAATTTCCAGTTTTCATTCCCTTCATGCGGGGAGATTGCTGAAAATCGGAGAACCAAGTAAGCATTTACCCATATCGATCCGTGAGAAGGCGCAAATGGGCCATGGCCGCGCCCGGAGTGGGCTTCAATCGGACACAAACAAACTTCTCGGTCGGTCACAAAACTGGCTGTACTCATGCAGGTTACTTGCACTTCAAGCCGACACGCGGCTTATCGGTTACTGCTTACTGAAATAGCTAAAGGCATACCCTTGATTGGTAACTGATTGTCCCGATTTTATTTGTTTCCCAGCTGTCTGTGTGAGGTTAACCACCCTGTGAACTTCAGTATTTTGTTGGATATCACAAAGATGCACCAAAAAGTGTTTGTTTCACCATTGTTTCGCCATTGATAATAACGCTGCAGGCCTCATAACGAAAGGGTAATAAACTGACAGCGAGTTAAAAAAGTTAAGTTTGGATGCCATACTTAGACGTCGATTGCCAGATCTCTTTGGGATAATCAAGAATACTATGCCGATTTGGTCAGTTCGATTACGTTCTGCGAGATTCGTTGTCGGATTGATGTTATGAACAAGGGATGAACAGGTGAATAATTCTTTCCACAAAACAAACGCCAGGAACCCCATCGAGACTTTACTTCCAGAAAATTTAATACATATATGCTCAGAACTTAGGTTTCAGCCACAGCGCTCTTTAAATTAAGGGTCAGTTTTACCTATCCCCCTAAATCAAAAAAGGGAATTAGCCGCTAACGGCTTCTGCTGGTTGCGAGTGATCTAAAACTGAACTTGTATTAACCAACAGACGTTTGCCGCTATTAATTCACACATAAGAATACCTGAATGGCTCTATAAACCAATTTTCTGGATGAAATCTGCAACCTTTACCAGGGAGCTACGACCGGCGTCCAGTGAGCGCTAGGCTTATAGAACCTCTGGGCGCGTTGCGTGGATATACAGTACATTTTTGAACGGTTCAGTTCTCCGTCGTTGTGAGTGACTAGCGCTGTCGGCCTTCCACTTCTGCGTTACCTACCCGCCAGATTTCCGCCTACAAACTCAGTAAATGGAACTAGTGGACGACAAATGTTTACCGTCGTGGGTCTCGTTAATTCCCATTGATGGAGACATCTGTAGCAGGACAGCGGAGCCAATGGATTGTGACAACTGCATGGGACACGACCCACTTGCGACCTACAGAGATAGCGAGTGCGGTCTGGATCTACTGATGTGACCAGGCACAATGATTCTTAAAATTCAGAGAACTTCATTAGTTCCACCCAATAATTCGGATGAATAGGGGACGATACACAAAATAGGGGTCGATAGCTCCGTATATGAATTTAAATCAGTCACAAAAATCAGTAACTCAGCATGGATTGCAATTAGCTCTTGAAACGGTGTTGATTATCCAGATTGGACCTCTTTAGACTGCAGAGTGGTTATGTAGTTCTGGAAAATAATAGGCTGCTTTGGGTTTAGGGTTTTTTTTCTATAAATACTGCTTCTCAGAGAATGCCGATAAACCTGATCGACATCCCCTCGTTTTGAACGAATCTGGAACCATGAGTCCGCACCTGATATTTGGTGTCAAATCTCCAAAGCGTTCATTATACTAGCGTCAATAATATAGCATTGACTGATAGCCATGACAGTTCCCGTTTGGACTAACACCTCTCATTTCAAAAGCACGAACAACTTTGTGCGGCTTATAGAACGAGGGTAGGGACTTGCATGGGATCAGTGGTGCTCGGTACTGCGCACGGTTGTGGCTGCTTTCGCAATAGACTGTGCCCATTTAAACCAAAGCAAGGCAGCTTCACTTTCCAGCGTTTGTTGATGCTTGTTGATGTATCTCCTTCGTCGTTTTTATGAATAATGAGCAGGTACAAAAAATGTGCTTATTGCACTACTAGCCCTCAAGTGACCAATTAGTAGCGCAAATGACTACACCAGATAGGATATGACGATAGATAATCCTAACCACCCGTTTTCCACGACGCAGTTTGCAGGCAGCTANTGCAGGTAGCATCCCCTAGAGTATCGGAACCTCAGCTGGGGACCCGGGCAAACCACAGGTCTCTTCGTTCTGAATACATTGCCTATTTTCCACCTTTGCTCAAGTCTACAGCCATCCGTTAAATACACTCATTTGGTTTTAATGGGAGACTCAAGTGAAACCAAGTTAATCTCTCGTTTACGATATTCCCCAACTAACAGAGCAGCATAAAATTTCAGTTGGTATGATAGTTGATATATGCTGTATGTTTTCCTAGCAGAACACTACATCTTAAGTTGCTAAAGGCTGGTCGACAGCATACGACCGGTTTTGCGCTTCCCCCGATATTCCGTCAAACTGTGTTCTACGTGAACTTGAAAGGCAACCCACCAGGTACGCTCAGTTGCATCGTAATTTGACTACGTGAATTCCCCTTACACAGTGAATATTGCTCAATGCAGACAAATCACACGGAATGCTTTTTCCATTATCTAACTTCATCGGCAGGTGAGTTCAGGCTTCAGTGAGAGTCGACGAAAAATACCATCGGAGCTTTGCACCGAAACTGACTTACAATGCTCAAACAATGAATATGTGATTGATCACTTTGGTTTGATGGAGAACCAAACTGTTTCCTTCCGAGAGTCAAAGCTACTGAAAGGTGGTTTTGCATCGCTAACCATAAACAAGTGCGTCAGCTGCGTCAATCACAGAGACGTAGTTTACCTACGTCCCATATGGAGGGTATTGATTA